GCCTGCCCTCCTGTTCCCACTTCCTTACTCTAACCACTATACAACCACCCCTTTTTCCTCCCCCCATCCCATCCTGAAACCAAAGCTTGGGGTTTAAAAAAATATTTTATTTATGCATACAAGAATTGGGTGTGAGAGGATTCGGGGGGGGGGCAGAACAGGCTGAGGGGACAGCGGCCACTTTAGCTCACATGGGGCCTGTGGGAAGCCAGTAGAGCTCGAAGCTGAGCCTAAACCCATCATTCCCCAGCCCATGCTGAGCTCTTCCACCTTTTCCCAGCCCCTTTCCCTTCTCTCCCCCCCTTCTCTAAGCAACCTCTTCTCTTTTCCACTCCTTTCTCTGTCCCTTCCCCTAACCTTTCCCTCTCCTCACCTCCTTCTTACCTTCCTCTTGCAGAGAACCAAAGATCGGAGTTTTAGACCATATAGGGAATGTTTCCTTCCAGTCAATTTAGAGATATACTTGCTTTAGTAATGATTCAGGCAACATCCCTCCCATTTTGCCAGTACAAAGGTATTCCTAAGTGGTTATATTAAATGGAAGATGTTTTTAGTGAGATAGAGGTAATTAGCAAAAGAAAAGATTGATTCAGATAAGACAGTCCCTCCCTAGGGGGGCAGGGGTGTTATCCTGTGGACCATCTGCTATTGTTACGTTCCTGGTTAAGGCTTTCATGTAGACATTAAATCTTGTTTTTGATGACTTGGGCATGGAACGAGTGCTTTTGGGTTTGTGGTTTCTTTCTCGAATGTTTTCTTGTATGAAACACATCTATAAAACACACAATATAGAATGCCAGTACCCACTGCTGTGTGTGAGGAGCAGCATGACGCTACATGCCGTCTGCTCAGCCTAGTGCCATGTGGGGCGACGGTCTCATATTCACTATAGCCAGGACCCTAAAATACACAGTAAAGGTGATCACCTCCATTTTATAGATGAGGAAACTGAGGTGCAGATACTTACATGAGTAGCAAATGTACCGCAGGTATTAAAAATCTTCCAGCATTTCTAACCATTGCCCCTCAGAGCTGGCCTGAGAGTAATACCCTTGGTCACAATTGTTCTTTTAGGGGAAAAATCAGTGTAAATTAGAAAAACCTCTTCTGGGGCATTCAGGCTGGGGACGTTTACAGCCTGTAGCTCTGTGTCCATGAATTCAGGCAGCCAGAGTCAGTTCACCACAGAGAACACAGAGGCAGGGCAGGGCCTGAGGGAATCCTGGCTGTATGGGAGGATTAAGTGACAGGTCAGCAACCTGTGGAGCTGTTTGTAAAGTGGCAGATCTATAAGCTCTTTAGGAGTATGTATGTTCTCATTTTAAAATACATGCCTACATATTGTAGAGAACTAATTCCACCCACTTCCCCAACCTCTGCAAAACAAAAACCCAAAACCATTTACTCTCATATGATCAAATTCGATTAACTTTTGGATCCCAGAAGGGTCTGCCCCAGGATCCAAGCCCCACCTGCTCAGTGTGCTGTGAATCCTCTTTCTGGGCTTCTCCACTGCAGTCATGTCTGCATGTCAGTCAGTCTTTGTCAGCGAGCTGGGCAGCTGAAAACAAAGGAGGGGGGCTGTGGGAGGCAGGAAAGGAGAAACAGCCCCTGACTAACTATTGGCCGGGACTGGTCCTGGGTTAGGGAAGTATACAAATGGCTTATCTTTCTTCCTGAGTAGGTCCCAGTCACATTTCACAGGCAAATCTGGGCAAGGTCTTGCTTGAGGGAGCCTGAAGGCGACGTGGAGATACCACAGCAACCAGAACAGGCCACTCACAAGGGCTCATGAGGAACTGGAGAAAGCAGATCTTGTGCGCAGCAGCAGCTGGTGCAAGTCTGATTAGTTCTTGGGGTTGAGGGCCAAAGATCCCTAGCAAAGGTCAGAGAAGCTGAAAGACAGTAAAAGAAAGTTTACCGCTAAGCGGTCCTGCTATGAGAGGCTCCTTCAACCAAAAGACACGGTCTAGAAAAAAGGAGAGGTGATTCCAGGCAAAAGGGAAAACATGTGTACAGAGCTGGAGGTGAAAACAATCCCAAAGAGGCGCCTGAAAAACTGCAAGAATGCGGTGTGGCTGGAGGACAGAGCTCACGGAGAGGCACGTATGAGTCTGAAGAAAAGATGAGCTTGCTGAAGGGCTACGTGTAGTGCTAGAGCTGGCCATTTTTCACATCACTACAAAGTCAACAGTTTTAGGCAGGGCTAGACCCACACTGATATTTTTTTAAGGGACTGTACTGTACTGTGTGTTGTTTCAGTTTTTAAAACAGAAAGAGAGGAATAGTGACTGGCTAGTGAGTGAGGGTTACAAGGCAGAAGTGGAAGTAAGTCAGAGGAGGAAGAGACCATTGCCGCAGCCCAGTAGAAAAGAATGGCCCAGGGGCAGGCTGGCAGCAGTGAACGTGGCTAGGAGGGGAAGACACCACAGACACGCACCTGGGAGGAAGCGTGGGCTCAGTGCCAGCCCGCTGCAGCAAAGCGAGGCCATGAGTTGTCTGGCTTCCCACGTCTAAGTGTGCTCAGCATTGTCTAAAATGTACGTACCTGACTTAAAACATGCTAACTATCACCTGGACTTTTTGCAAGTTGCAATCTTTTTGCTGCAGGAGGAGGGCCTTGCCTTGAGTGTGGATGGCTGCTGACTGATCTGGGTGGCGGCGGTGGTGACGGTGGCTGTGGCAATTGCTTAATGATTGAGTTCCTTTCACAAAAGGTCCCTCTGTAGCAGGTGCTGCTATTCATAGCATTTATCCCGCAGCAGAACTTCGTTCAACATGGGGGTCACTCCTCTCAAACCCTGCTGCTGCTCTGTCTGCTACTTTGGTTTGTCCCATCCTAACTTGCTGGTGGCATTTCAACAGCACTTGCAGCTTCGCCAGGACTTTGTCCCGTCTCAAGACATCACTTTCTTTGTTCACCCACTCCACAAGGAGTAATTCCTCTTCTGTTAAAGCTGACATTGTAGATACACAGTCACATCTTGGGAAAGGAGGGGAACACAGGGACGGAAAGAGAGGATGGGGAGGGAGGGGAGGGTGGAAAGGGTGGGATAGGAGAAAGGGTTCGAGTGGACTGTGGTCACAGGGTGGGATAAATAAGGTTCCAGCACTCCTTGGTAGGAGAATTCCAAAATGAAATTCCAAATGCAATGGTCAGCGCTTCAAGGTTACCTAAAAATAAACAGTTATCACTCTTGGGATGTCTAAGCAGATATTTTAATAAGTGTGATCTGTCTCCTTTACCTGAATGTTTTATACGATGACTATTATATGACCAAGGGACTGCTATCAAACCAGGAAACAGCTAATTCTAACAGAAAATTTAAGGCCTCTTAAGATCTCAGAACCCTGAGAAACAGAGTTGAGACCACCATTTTTAACATCATCCTGGGTTGTTAGGATGCTATGTTGACTAATTTATATTAAATCAGCTCAAGGACAGTTCTGGCCCCCATCTGGTTGTCTCTGACCAAACGATCCCATTTAATTTACTGGAAGGCAAACCTGTCTAACCAAAACAACTCATTTTGATAGCCTGATTCATCCAGTTTGAAGAGCCCACTGGGTCACAAAAAATCCAGAGCACAAGCCTCCCTGGTGGCATAGGGGTTAAGTGTCAAGGCTGTCATTGCTACAGCCTGAGTTCAACCCCTGGCCAGGGAGGTGACCCACAAGGCACAGAAGATCTCTCCTGTCTCCCCTACTGCTCCCCTCAGCAGTTTACTTCAGTAAATCCACCTGGTCTGCCCCCTCCTGTGTTCTCTGGTGAAACCTCTCACCACCACCTCTTCCTCTTGCATCTCTGATCTATATCCCAGTTTTCTATGCCTCCCTCCACCCCCAAATCCTGAGTCTGCTTTCTTTATCTGCAATCCACACCAAAGCCCAGAATAAGCTGGGCTTACCTGAACACGTGATGTGTGGGACCCAGGGCCCCTAGGGAGAGTGCTCAGGTGACAAGCGACGATACTGGTATCCCATGAAAGGGAGGACATCACCACTAGGTATAATAAATGGAGGCCTGGGCTCCGGGGTTAGTGAGAGCTGATCATGAAGGGTTTCTAACTCCAGCTCTCACAGCCCTACTGTATGGACACCTAAATCAAGAGCATTTACTTGCAACATCATTAACATTTATTTATTTATGCATGCATGCATATAGAACTGGGGTACAGGCCAGAGGCTCAGGGGCGGTGAGAGGATTCACCAGAGACAGAGTGGGGAGCAGAACAGGTAGACTGACGAAGTACACTGCTGAGGGAGCAGCGGGCGGGTCAGGAGAGTTCTGCTGCGTCATGTGGTCACCTCCGGGGCAGGGATTGAATTTGTGCTGAAGTGGCTTTAGCGTCTTAGTGCTGTGCTTTAATCCGGTGCACCACCAAGGAGGGCCCTGCAGTTCCATTTTTAATGTATGTATGTATACCCTCCTTCCTCATGCCCCCCTCCCCCAAATATTTTAGATCAGCAGTGTATGTCCCCCAGACCATGCGGGCACTGAGGCTGGTTCAGAAATGAAGGTTGGCTCCCAGTGACTTATCCCAACAAGCAAACTGCAACGAGATTCCATCTTCTTATGCTACGCTTCTTCCTGGCTCCTCTCTCCACCCCATTCCCCTCGAAGTCATCAGAATTAGCACAGATAGGTGTCAAGATACATCTCCAGGCAAAGGGTTCTGTGACTCATACACTCTCAATAGTGTATTCTGCCAGTACATTTCCTGCCCATTCCCACGCCAGAAAATCACAAGCAGATTCTTTAGGACAGTATTCACAAAGAACCAAAAACATGTTACTAGATAATTAGGTTCCTGACCCTCTAGGAGAAAAAAATCTCTGTTCCTGCTTATTTCCATGCTCTGGGCTTGCCCTCCAGTTTGAAGAAATCACCTGGGATTTCCTAGCCCAGGTCTGTGAGTGCAGCTTCTGTGTCCTGCCCCTTCGTGAGGCACGGAAGGCAGGTACTGACTGCTACTGATTTGTCACATTTTGTCTTTCAGAACCAGAGGCGGGAGAGGTGTCCCCTCCAGTAGGTGCTGGTGTCAACAGCAACAGCTGGACCTTTAAATACGGACCGGGCAACCCCAAACAATCTGGTCCCGGTGAGTTGCCAGACAAATTCATTATCCCAGGATCTCCTGCAATCATCTCTATCCGGCAGGAGCCTACTAACAGCCAAATTGACAAAAGTGACTTCATAACCTTCGGCAAAAAGGAAGAGACCAAGAAAAAGAAGAAAAAGAAGAAGGGTAACAAGACCCAGGAGAAAAAAGAGAAAGGGAACAGCACGACTGACAACAGTGACCAGTGAGGTCAATTAATGGAAACAAGCCACTTAGCCAGTTTTTGTAATAATGGCGAATCTCTCCCATGTAGCAACTCCCCGCTCCTTTCTCCCACCCCCAGCCCACTCTCAGACCTCAGAAATCTGCACCAAGTTCCCTGTGTCTGTCTAGATTGCATTTAACAGGTTTTGTCTTAAAAGCTTTACTAAGTCTGGTGTTAACTATTTCTCTCCACTCTGGCTTGTTTTCAGAACCTAAAAAGCAGACCCAAGTTTCCTTTCTCCTCCGCCGCAAAGGAGAGGCCTCCCAGCCCCGCCAGTGAGAGGTTGGACTCTCTGCCCTGTGCTCCGGGGATCCTGTCTTGATGACACTTGCAGGGCAGGCCGAAAGGCTCTGAGGTTGAGCAACTTGGGTGGCTGTGGCCACCGGGTATGTGTGGCCACCGGGTATGTGAGTGCCCCGCAGTGGCCGGGATGGGCCAGGTTAGGCTAGCTGGCGCCAAGTGGGGGTTACCGATTTGGAGGGGAAACGTGAAACTGAAAGGGACCAGACTTTCTAAATCTTACAACTCAAGAGGCAGTGGCCACCTTCTAGCAGACAAACCACCCCACTGACAAGGCTTTAGGAGTCCATAAACCTAAAACCTGCATTATACCTGCAAGCCAAGTGTTCAGTGTTTCACGGGGGGCTACCTGGGGTGATGGAAGCAGACCTGATGTGTTTCCTGTAGATGTCCTTGTGCTCACTTTATTAAATATTCTTTTGCACACAATGTTTATGAAAAGGCCAGATCCTTTTCCAACAGATACATATATGCAAAAATGAAAGAAAACCCCAGCACCTCACTTTTCTTATTTGATAGTTATTTAAAAAGAGAGAAAATCTATAACTATAAATCTTTAAGAGAAATATGATGAATACAAGTCCCCTAAATGCTCCTCAAAAGAGACTCCGTCTACAGCCATTTAAACGAGCGTTGCTGCTACAGAAGTGCTTTAAGAGAACTGCCTGAACATCTGTATTATACCGGCCACCTGCCAATCACAGCTTTACTCTTTCAGGTCACTCTGGGGCTGCCTCTTGCATGTATTAATTAATAAAGGATCTTTCTCTTTCTCTTTTCTAAGAAACAATTTGTGCACTTTGAATACACAACCTTCTCTAGCCAACTTCTCAAGACCCAGAAATTGAAGAAAGATAGTTTCCACATACAGACAGTGAGCAGACTTTTCAATCCTCTCCACCCGTGACGTGTCTTGGTGTGCTAGCCGACACCGCCTCTTTGGCTTAGTTTTCCTTTTCTATGACACTCTGACTTGCTGATCTTATTAACACCTGTTACCTGAACTCACCCCCATATGTATGCTGTATGCTATTATAAGACTCCTGCGATGTACTCACTCTGTGCTTGTGTATGTGGATGTTAATGCAACTATTACCTAGAGTGAACTTTAAGCTTTATTGTCGAATGTAATTCCATTATATTTCCTCTGTACACCTGTGGAAAAGTGGCGTAGTGTTTTTTTAGCCATTGTTAACCAGCTTTGTGTATGAAAGACACAGTAAAATTTCTTTCTTAAATCAAGAAACTGGTGATTCAAGGAATTTTATTTATGGTCAGCAAAGAGCCATCTCTAGCCAAGACTCCTGCTGGCAAGGGATTGGATAAAGCTGTTTTTTTCTAGTAACAATTCTGGAACGAATACTGAAGATATTCTCTGAGGGTGTGCAAGCACAAAATACACCAACCTGACCTCTTCGAAGTTACAGAATGCTTTGAAATTCTGCTGACATTTGGAGTATCAGCTCATTGAGAAAAAGCAATTTTAATTTTATTAAAATGTACAATTTAGAAGTTTGATTATCTTTTAAAAGTTAACAAAAGAGATAGGAGTCTGTTACTAAAACAAAAGCATTAAATCTCAACAAAAACTGTTTTGTCTATTTTTAGCTTCATTCTCCCATATTTGGAAGGGTGTGTAACTTCAGCTCTGCAGGATTGCATGGGGTAAAACGTGTTGCCAACACATGTAAACCATTGCTACATTGTAGGTTGTGATCATTTTGCCCCACTGAAACCCATGTACCTGACCTTACGTGCCTTTTGAATAGTAGGAGAATCGGGCTAATTTATTAATGATGATAATTATAATGTATCTGTACAGCACTTTTTACATTTGCAAAGTGCTTTCCAATCCATGTTAGTTACTAGTTACTACAGCTGTAAGGATAAAACACGTCATGTGGATTCATTTTTAATTGGTGCTATTGGTATTTCTTCTGTTATTGCTAATAAATGGAAAATGGTGGTATGAAAGAAATGGTGGTCATTTCTAAGTTAAAGGGTAGGAGAAAACAGAACATTATCATCAGCTGTTATTACTGAAGACGGGTGTGGTATTAAACTTACTCGATCACTCTCCAAGCTGCCTCCCTGGCTTTTGCATTCATTACCAAGGTGAAACACCCAGTAAAATCCATACTGAAACACCACAATATTACTACAATGAGCCCCTTCCCAATACTCCACTTTGATCTTAAGAAATGCAACCACTGAAGAGGCCACATCCTTCCTGAACGACACATACGCAAACGCGGTGAGAAAACCCTAGCACCTCATTTTATACTGCTGTTGACTCAGCTTTCATCCCTAGAACCCTCTAGTCAACTTGTTTGGCTTCTCACCTGCCTACAATTAGGAAATCAACTAATGTACTCGGTGGGTTCAGTTCATAGCACATTTCCATAACAAGCTGACCACACTTGTTTGTGTTAGGAGGCACAGGTTTCTTTATCTGCTTTAATTTTCAACTGCGAACAATTTTGCCCTTAGGACACTTGGCAACACCCAGAGACTTTCGTTTTTTCCTCTCTGGGTAAGGGCTGGTACAGGTGTGCAGAGGGCAGAGGGCAGAGGCCAGATGTTACTGAACACCCCACCATACACAGGACCGCCCCCACAACAAAGGTTTTCTTAGCCAAACATGTCTGAGTTACAAAGATTGCGAAACCTTGAGCTACAGTGCCCACGTAATTCGTTGAGTCCCTTTGTGAGGTAGGAAGGAGACATCATTAATACTTCGGACAGAAGTGGAAACTGGGCGACCCCAGGAGACTGGAGTATGGCGACTGCTGCCAGAAACACGTCTAGCTCAGCCAATGACCAGTCAGGCACCCTTGGGCAGGCCACTGCTTGGTGTTCGACTTAAGTTTGACCATCTGTAAAATAAGAGTGATCACAGCACAGATCTTTTAAGATTTGTGGGGTAGAGTCATTAGCAAGAGCATGTTAATGCTTTCAGCACAAGATCCGGCGCGCCCCAGTGTTCAGTGTAGTACTATTAATAATCTTTTTCTTCCACCTCCTCATCCCTTTTCAAAAGTTTTAACTATTAGACTAGGATTAAAATGTGAGAGGTGGTAAATCAATCAACATAAACTTTGCAATAAAAGTCAATTCCTTAACTGCCTCTCTCTACAGGGGACAACAGGTCTGAGCCAGTGATCAGGGCAGCAGAGTTCACAGCTGCTCCTCATTAGCGCTCAGCGCCAGGAACAAAGGCCTGAGACTCCGCATGTTCACGCACATGAATTCCATGGGAGTTCCATGGGACTCTAGCTACAACTACTTGAGACAGAATAGTCACTCACACTCCAACAACTGTTGACTACAGACAAATGGTATCAAAAGATCCACAAACTGGCCTAGTGTCCTACAGCTAATCAGGAACTAAACCAAGCTTTATCCCCCTTCAGGGCCAGGCTGTTGATAGGGTACCACACAGAGCATAGAATTCACTCTTTACAGTGGCAATTTATCTAATTCTAAAGGATGAGGTTCCTGAGTGAGTGCCCAGATTTGGCTATTGGCTTTTAGGTGCTTAAGTTAAAAACAACAAAAAAAAAGTCTTCTCTTGGTGTATTTTATGTTTTATCATTCAAAACACAATCCTGAAGTACAAATATAATTGATGAAACTGTTTCATTTCAAAACCACCAAAACCTCAAGAATACACCAAACAAAATCTACAGATATATCCCTGAAGGACTGAAAACCCCTAAGAGTTTCCTAAAGAAATGACAAGTTGGCCACTCTTTACTGTATTTCATCTTTATGTGCTTCTTCCTCCTATAGAAGCATATCAAATAATTTCTCCCAATATTAACTAGGCTGCTGTATGCAACATGTAACTTTGCAAACTGAGCAATTCTGATTTTACGCACACCCACTGCTATTATACTTGGAAAGAGGACTGCAGTAAATGACCACGGTCTTTTTCTTTTGAAGTTTTATTTATACCTGAGGGGTATATCACAACCTTATTGTCTGCATCAGGTGAAACTGTTCCCATTTTCTCTTGGGGTTGATGGGTGGAGGAATATCTGCTGCTCAGACAGTAAATCTGCCAAGTCTTTTACCTTAAAAAAAAAAAAAAAAAA